GTACAGGTTTTCTATACCATGCACAAATTGCTTAATTATGTAAAGGTATAACATATATAAAATCTATAGAACATATAACTTGTATAAAATAGAGCCAATGATGATAGCTTTTCTGCAAAAATGTTGCAGCTATTTTGTAAGGACAGTGGGTTTTTTGTAGATGATCATAAAATCTTTTTCTAGCTATACATTGAGATAGTATTAACTTTATTGGACTTGATGACACTGCATGAAAAATTTATGTAGTTACACAAATAAATAGTTTAAAAGAATTTCAGATTTAGTACATCAGATATTTATGGACTGTACCCTGTAAAGATTTTAGTAGCTTGTTCTGTCAAGTGACTTTTCTTAAATGTAAAATATAGTGGGAGAATGACTTTCAGTTTTTTCCTTTTAAAATTTCAAATTTCCAAATATATAGTTTTCACTTGGGGAATATTGGTAGTCTTTGTTGTGTCAAGAGTGCCTGTAGTTATTCCAAAGCATGCTTTATTTCTATTATAATTCTTAATCACAGCATGGAAATGTGAATGCAGTATACTTGTTTGTACAGTAACATTTAAGCATAGACATCAGTACACTGGAGAGAAGAAAGTCCCCAGGACTCAAAGGACCAAAGACCCCACTGTAAACCAGCAGGCAGTTCACCTGGAGGGAGAATAGAACAACTTTTTCGAACAGTGATCAGAAACCAATGACAAGGTACCTATTTTTTAATTAGAGGAAGCTTAGGGACAAACAATTATTTGTTTTAGAATTTTGCAATTTATTTTAAAATTGAGTTTTGAAGTTTAATTTTTTTAAAGATTGACACAACGGCATGGATTTCTAAAAGTGAATGTTTAAAATCTTCAACCTGTTGTTTGTTTTGCTTTCCAACAGCTCCTGGTTCAAACAATGCAAACACAGAAATGGTTGTATCTTTTGTTAGCTTTAGATTTTGTGCTCTTATGACTCCAGACACTGGAGAATGAACATTTCACTTTTTTTAAAACTAAAACAATTAAATAGTGGTTTAGTATGGATTAAAAAGCTTCTGTTTATCAGATATTTTGATTAAATATTGGTTTAGGATCAAACCACAGTTGCCCAGAGAGGTTGTGGAATCTCCATCGTTGGAGATACTCAAACCTCAGCTGGCCATGGCCCTGGGCAACCTGACCTCGTTGGACTTTTCTTTGGCAGGAGGTTGGACCAGATGACATCCAGATGTCCTTTCCATCACAAATTATTCTGTAACTCTGTGAAACAGGTTCCTTTAAAAAAAGGTCTAAACAACCAAAATAACTCCTGGCTACTGAAGGACATTGCTGCTCCTCTATGTTTTACTGTGTTTAGTTCAGCAGCTTGTGGGTAGCCGTGGAACTTCAGCTGCAGGTTTAAGGCAAAACTACATTTTAAAATTGTCCGGTTTTTATTTTAATACTGGACATAGATAATTAGGAGATGATACTGTTAGAACTGAACAATAACTTGGAGTGAGTTCTAGCACATAATTGGATACATTTTGATGGTTAAATCACAGGCTAAAACATGTAAGATTTGTTCATGGAGTATGAACGGTCTTTAATGTCTGAATCGGGCAATCTGACTACAGATGAGACTTGAGTCAGTGACATTGTAGATGAATGGGGTGATGAGAGCTAGTGAGGAAAGAGGAAAAACACTGTCCTCTGAGCATATATAGGAGTTTGTGAACCATAAATAGTTGCAAAAAGGAAATACAGGGTATGTGTAAAAAGGCAGTGTTAAACAGGATACTGATCAAAGAATCGGTAGAAGCACAGTAGGCAGTCTTGCAGTCAGCTGCCTGCACTATATAATCCAACATGCACTCTGTCAAAAAAGCATTTCGTATTAGTTGCCAAGTCAATATACAGTATGACTTTGAAAAGATCCAGGAGTGTAGGGAGTTCTCTTACTATTGTACTAAGTACCTACACTAATGCAGCAGTCTGTGTTTTCCAAGTCATAGCAAAAATTAAGTGTGCATCTCCTGCTTGGACTGTGCAGAGGGATATTTGTACTTACATGAACTTCTGAGGCATGCGTGTAGCCTTTAATCTCTAAAATAGACAAGGGAATGCAAATGCCCTGGATATAGACCTTGCTATATTCCTAGATGGCTTGATAAGGTTTTAAGTTCTATTGCTGTGGGTTCCTTTGCCATTTATAATGCCAATAATTAAACATTGTATTTAGTCTGAAATTACTTTTCTTTTCACTTCTTGATGTTTGATTTTCTTCAGCTGGAATTTTTCTTTTGGGCCCCAACTAAGGAGGGTTTACAGGGCACAGAGTTGGGGAAGCAAAATGCATTGTTACTTCAAGATGGCTAATGTATGATAATGAATTAAAATAAAATTGGTGGCATAATCAGAGGACACTCTGTAACTTTCATATGTTAACAAGCTGAAGTAAAGATTGTGAGGAGCCTGGCCCCATCAAAAGGAATTTGAGACTGCTTTTATACTAGCTAAGTTTTTTCTATTTCTTACCTCAAATCAAGTAAGAAAGCACCTTTTTTCTCTGACAAAGACAAATCTGGAGTGCAACGAAGCATAGCTTTTGGTAAATAGTGACTTGTTCCTAATCTCTTCCAAACAGTATCGGTGTTTTGCTCTGGGGAAATTCAGGAGGTGGGGTGAGAGGGAAGGAGGAAGCAGATGAGCACCTGATTTCTGTGCAAGAGACACATACTGGAGCTGTTCTGTGAATATCTTCATTCCTCTGGAAAAGCAGAGTGGTCGCTACCAGGAAGAGACAGCCTTCATTTCCTCTTGTTTGCAGGCAATACAGGCCGTCTTCTTCATGCTGGTTGCCTTCTTTGAAGGAAGTCTGGCAGAAAGTGGGAACTTTTAGAAAGGTGATCTCCAATAACATGTGGCAACAAGGTGCCTCGAGCTGTGTCAGTAGGAAGCATCCTAAATAAAAGACTTTCAATAGAGGGACAGGACCTCACCCTGAACCAATTGGCTTTCCCTCCCGTTGCCTTGAGAGCAGAATTTTGCTCCTGGAGAATGCTGGCAGACAAGATCCAAGCTGGCTGTGGTGGAGCTTGAAGACATGAATGAACAATGATGTCCTGGGGGCACTGACATTGCTTGCAGAAAATTCTCATAGGACATTAGGACTTGAAGTTCTGAATTTTAAGAATTTGAGGTTAACTGAGGTCAGTCTTTCTGTTTGTAAGTTAAACCCAGCTTGCTCTTTCACCACGGATTCCCTGGGATCAGTGGGTGGTGTGTTTTTAAAGATGAAACTACTGACTGTGTTGAGGGATGGGAAGAGGTCTGCAGTATCATCTCTGCTCGCTGTGAAACCCCCTTGCTTTAGAACAAGCTGCCTTCTGGGTAACGCCAACTGCAGTGCTTCTGGGTCTGTGCAGCAGGACACCTGCCCCTTTTACATCCTTGGGACCATTTTTTCCTATGTCTTTATCCTTCATTCACTTGGTTGCTTCCTGACATGTTCCTGGCTCTCAGCCATGCCACCCTGCTCTCACTTTCTCCTGCCTCCTTGCCTAAAAGTGGGAATTCCACCCTGGCTGGGTTTCCCTGGGCCAGCAGAGCCACTGTGCCTGGCTGGCATGGGCTGAACCAGAAGCCAGAACTCAACTTGCGCAGGAGACAGGACCTCGTGGCCCCAGGGAGCCGGCTCCCACCTTTGCTTGTGGCACTGGGATGAGCTGGAAGGCGGCTCCCAGGCGAGGTGGCTCCCAGCTTCTTCTGCACACAAGCAGGCACAAAGCTGTGCTGATTTCCTTGACCCCAGGCACCAGCCACGCTTGGGAACTGGCTCCCAGCTCTGCTGCTCGCAGAGACAGACAGGAGCTCAGGGTTTGGGCTCCTGTGCTTTGCTCTTTCTTCTACAAAGCATGAAGGGAGCAGGAGACCAGCTCCTGGCCCTGCCTGTGGGTAGGGAGTGTCTCCTGGGAACCAGCTCTCTGTGCCTGCAGGAACTAGCAGGAGACAAGAGCTGGCTCTTTGCTGACGTTGCTGGAGGAGTTGTACGGCAATTAGAAAGGTGTGTAGCAGTTGGGAACCTCTGGTCTTGAGCTTGTTTGTCGGAAGATATCTTTGCCCTATATTTTTGGCTGAGACAGACTGTCACACTGAAGTGGGCACCATCGTGTGAGACAGGTACTTCCTCAGATCTTGTTGCTCTTGCCATTAGTTAAAATATGTACAGTCCAGTTCCAGCAATGTATGGTCCATCTTACTGATTGTACAACTTGCTGTATTTCAAATAGTCGTTTCTTCACCAGAAATGCCATGTATTACCAAAAAGTCTGCCAAGCCTGTATAAACTGTTGCCTGGTTCTGACTCCTAAACTGAACTAAACTATGAAGCTTGCATTTCAGTGTGATCAAACAAATTTGTCATGCTGCCCCCATCCTGGTAGCAGAGGTCTAGGGTTAAAGTCTGCTTAGTGCTGGAGGTGGTGAGAAGTTTGTGTACCTGCCTGCCATGTACCCCCCATCCACTGTCCTGGATGTCACTGCTTCTGTAAGGTAACTACAGAACAGTGGATCTTGAAGTACTGGTATTTTTGTAGTTGATTTGTTTGAATGTGGAGAACTCTGGGAATAATACAGAAGCCTGAATTATAGTGACACAAAACTTTCATTGTTAGGAGCTTGAAAAGATTATGCTGAAAATTGGTTAGTTCTAGTCATCTTTTTATAAATTGTCTTTTAATTTTAATCTTTTCTTGCTTGACTTTGAAACTTGAATATCTAGTTGGGTCTCTTCTGATCAAATGCGGTGAGTATAAAACTTCACAAATAGCAAGATTGTTCAGAAACTGTTTGTGAGGGTGTTCAAAACTTTATGATAATTTTGGTAAATGGAAAAATTAGGTTTGCTTTACAATATGTTACTAATTTATATGAACAGTATCGCTTTCCTGTTAGAAAATATCATATTTGTTTACATGCTTGTCTCTATTGTTATTTTATTTTATTATTAAATGAACATTTTTCTTTTCTTCCCAGAGGATGCTAAGCAAGTTTTTGGCCAGACCACGATTCATCAGCACATTCCTTTTAACTGGAATTCAGAGTTTGTACAGCTGCATTTTGGAAAGGATAGAAAAAGACACCTAACATATGCGGAGTTCACCCAGTTTTTACTGGTGGGTCTAATACAATACAGTTTGTCAAGACTAATAAGAAGGTTACAAAAATCAAAGTATTTGGAAACTTGCCAAATACCATGCTGGTAGGAAAGTTGAAAGATAGACCAAGTATAGGCTTTTACAGTCAGAGTGCTGGACTTTAATAGTGTGTTGATATATAGTATATGCTTATGGTAAAATTGCTGATTCAGGCTAGCTGGTTTGGTTTTTTTTTTTCTTTTGTTTTTGGCACCTGTGTGTAGAAGCTGATTTTTTTTCTACACTGTTGTGTAGACAGAGACATGAAATTAAAAACCTAGACCTTTAAGTCTGAAAATCTCCTGTATATTTAAATCCATGAGTCAAAGAATGTTAAATAACAGTATTGAACATTTTCGACCCAGTTGCCAGACTGGTATTGAGAAGTACTTCTGTCTGTAAACAGCATGTTTACCAAACGTGTATTTAATTCAGTGCTGATATCCAATAAAGATGTTTTGCTGCAAGCCCTTTCCACACACTTCTTTACTTTCGACCTTTTTTGAATTAAGAGTATCTCAGATAGGGAAAGGCTATTTAGCTTTGCTTGTGGTAGATAGAGAATAAAATACTACCTTTCTTTTGCAAGGAATTCTGGGCTATTCATACTTCGGGGTACTTTGTTACAGAAAGTAAAATATTGTGCTAATAAAATGTAAACAGATTATCTGTATTTCAGCAGTACTGTTAAAAATAGTCTTCAGTAGGAAAAGTGATCCTTGAAGTGGTGAAACACGTGAGTTTCTTATTTGTATTCCTTCTGAATACTTAATGCCTGTATTAGTATTTACACTAGAGAGTTTTAAAATGGGAACCTGCTTCAAGACTGCAAGGTTTCTTTTTTTCTTGTTTACACAAGTATGTTAGTTCACAGTAGGAGGTGGTATCATTTTGATGAGGAATAATTAAGATAATGCTATTGAGACAAATGTTTCAAATTGACTTTGTAGAACAGAGCCTAATTAACTTTGTATGAAGAGGACGTCAGGTATGACATGATTAAATTGTATTCCCTTAGGTTTTGTATTGACTATTGTAACTCCTAAGTAGCTAAGGCATAGACCAGTTTTGTGATGGAATAGTGAACTAGAACCTCTTTTAGATAAAAAAGCAAATGTGTTACTTGATTAGGAAAAAACACCCCTGGCTACATGTTCTGGTGTTCTACTACCTCCTTCCAACTACAGAATAAGACCTGGATATGTATCCTGATTTTGGTGGATTAAAATCATAGTCTTAACAGAGTACCAGTCCTGTTTGCCTCATGTGTCTGTTTGTTTAGAGATCTGAGAACAACCTGAAGAAAAACCCAGAATGAGAAAAAGGATACTTTTTTCCCCCAAAAAAGGGGAGTAGCGGTGAGAGAGGTTAGAGCCACAGACCTAAAAGAGCCTGTAACCTCATGGCTGGGTATTTGGAAGAGTTGAGTTCTTTCTTTGTGTCTTTGGGTTCTTTCATGTTTTTTCTTTGAATTAGGAAAAGCAAGAGCTGAGGCAGCAGTTTTCTAACTTTGGAGATGAGTCCTAACTACTAGGCTTTCTCATCCTGTGGAGGGGTGTTCCTCTTTCCTTGTCTGAAAGGACTTTCCTTGGATGTGATCATATTCTGGGGAGAATTGTATTTGGTTTTTGTTTTTTTTCCCCCCCCCTTTTTTTTTTTTTTTTTTTTTTTTTTACCAGCGCCACTGCAAAAGTGGATCTTAGCTAGTTGCAGTGCAGAGTAAAAGGTTGTGTTGGAACGCATCAGTGGTCCTCATGAGCCAGGCAGCCCTTTTGGTGATGATCCATATAGGACAAAAAGAGGGAGGAAAAGCATAAACCTGGAGACAAAGGATGATGATTCTGGGTGTCCTCTAGAGAGTTGAGATGCATTCAGGAAAAGTTCTAAGGCTGCTAATAAAGATGCTCTCAGCATATTTGCAAGGATTTTCAAATAAATTAATTGTCCTAAGATTCTGCCAAAGCTGTCTGCTATCAGTACAGTTTGTTAGGATGCTCAGTCAGTCACAGTAATTGGGTACATCTGCCTACCCACTTTCTAGAACTGTAAATCTTTGGAACGCCTAGGTTTCCCAGGTGATTCTTGTTTTGCAGCATTGTATTACAGATACTGAAGTTTGAACACACAACTCTCAGCACAAATTGGAGAGTTAATGTTCACAGGCATAGAAATCTTCCTTTAAGCTCTGTAACCTGTGGTAGTCAGCCTTTCCTTCTGACATTCTGCCTGTGCATGAGTCAGTCTCCTTGGTCTGATGTCTAGACCTTGGACCTTAGACAGCAGGAGACCACAGTGGATACCAAATTACCTTTCTGCATTCCTGATGTGTGAATGCTCTTTACATTGCACTTAACATGGACCAGATGGTTCTGTAAGGCGCTTCAGGTACTGTCTTGTAAGTACAATGCAATTTGCAACTTTTAATGAAATAATCCAGCTAGATTCAAATTCATTCACGCTGGGTCCTATTATGCCACATAAAATTTTTACATATTCATTATCTGTCGCAGCATTTGGGGTAATCATCACTTCTGGCAAAGCTGAAGATACGTGGAAAATAACATTATTATATTTGATCCGCGCACAAGATGGATCGCTCTGACTTTAAGTAAGAAGAGTTTATATGGGATTCTGAATATTTACATCCTGCCAGCACTTTTTTTGTCTACAGTAACAGAGATTCCCAAAAGTATAGCCTCCAAACTGTTTGACTCTAATACAGTTAACAATCTGTTTGCATCAACCCAGAGCTCAAGGTGTGTTGTTTTACCCTGCTTCTCATTTTGCTAGCTTAAAATTAGCTTGTATATCTCCACTATATATCCATCACATCTATATGTTTGGATATGGTCATGTTCCATCATCACCTAAGTGGCAAGTCTGCTTCACGAAGAGCAACACTGGCCCCTTTCTCAGCACGTAAAATCTATTCCGCAGGATGAATTTTAACATAGGCTTACATGTGGGCCTGGTAAATCCATTTCCACATTGTCTGGGAATTTATTTGTGCCCAGCATATTAGCTGATGAAGTAGTACTCTTTATAATTGAACCCTGGGACCTAGTCCAGTGGAAAGGATTGTGCTGTATCTGATGACTTGTAGATCCATTGGGATGGAACCCAAACATAAATCTCTAAGTGGAAAGTAAAGAAGCTTTTAATGAGCTGCAAGTGAAAGCTGAGGTAAAAATCTCTAGATAGGAAATAATTTCATGAAAATTCTGGTGCCAGCATGCCTGCCATGATGTGCAAATTAATTTTTCACAAAGTCCTATACTACCTGGGGGAATTCTGGACTTCCAGCATCAAGGGAGAAGCTTGTTTTCTAAGTATATCTAAGATTACAGAAAGTCTAGTCAGAGAAGAGTCTTTAGAATGTATAATTTGTATTGCAAAGCAATGAGGATTGTATTTCTTCCAACCTTCATTTGTCTAGGTAAACAATATTGGACTGAAATAGGTGAAACAATAAAAATTATTGCAAGTCAGATAGCACCTCTAAACACTACAGCTTTGTTTTATAGTTTTTCAGTTTATTTTTAAGGTGGTATTTTTTATCTTAGCTGCATATACACAGCATAAGCAATGTTATAAACGTCTCATAAAGATTTCCCTGATAAATTGCTGGTAGCTACTGAGCCTCATTTTGAAACGTAGTTAGTCATGCTGTGAGATGTCTCAACTTTCAGGCTTGGAGACCGAGGGAGTAGATAGCCTTTCTTTTGCATTAAACACTTTAAGGAGTTTATTACGTTGTTATGCAATGTACAGTGATTAAAGAAGTGATATCTGTCTGGGGTTTTTTTGTGCCTGACTTTATAGGTGAAATTTAGTTTTGAGACTAAGTGTGTTACCATGTAATGGTCTGCATGTTCTTGTATGCTGTGTCACTGCCATGGTCATGGTTTGGGTATGTCATGTGGCTGAAGGTCCTTGTGCTTTTTTTCTGCTCAGTGCAACTGGAAGATGCATAGCACAGCTCAAAATAACCGTAGCCTAAAAAGACCCTACCGTTCTGAGAAGGTGGGATGAATCTTCTCTATCTATTTGCAGTATGCTTAAACCATTCCATTTGATCTAAGGAGGAGGTGCAAATAGGGAGCTCCAGGAGACTGACATCATCCTATTCAGAGTTTTGTCTTGCTGTCTGTCTACAGCTAAGTGGCTCTTTTGTAGCTGACAAGAACATGGGCAAATGGCAGCACTGAGTCCTTGACCATGTGTTTAAGCAGGTGGGATAATTCTTCTGTCTAGTGGGTTCCACAGGTACCAAGAAGATTGAAAGGAATCATGTTAGCAAGGATAGGATGGGGTGATTTGGCTTGTACTCAACTGTAGTACTAACAGCCCTTTTGCAATTAGCTGGGTGATGACAAGAAACATGCACTTAATGTACCTCTCTGGAACGTGAGCCCTGCTTTGCTTCTGTGGCTGAGACGTCACTGTCAGCCAAGGTCCAACCAGTGGTATACGTACCTCCAAATTTGCTGATAGGTGTACACAGGTGGTAAGAGATTGGACTTCTGTAAGTGGTGTCCAGGTTTTTTACTGCATTATAGTGCTGGATTCTGCCAGCACAACACTGCCAGCAATTTCAGTGGTTAAAACAAATTGAACAAGAGGAGGAGAAGAAAGCAACGTTCACAGTTTCCCATGTAATCCTGCTGCAAAATTAAATTTATTTTTTCTTTGGTGATGCTGCCACTTAATGACAAACATTTTTTGTTCATTTGTTCATATGTTTCTAGCTGCCAGGTGTATTTAGGGATAGAAGAGTTATTATACCCAACTTCTCTTCAGAGCTCTCTGCTTCCCGAGTAGCTGCCTGCCTCAAGCTGACGAAATTTTTTTGTGTTCTTGTGCTCCTCCCACCGTAAATCTCCCGAAATTGCTTGCTTCCAAATTCCTCTTGAAATTATAGTCACAATTGTAGTGAAGCAAGAGCTTACATGGCTGCATCCAGCTGGAGTGAATATTATTGCTGAATTGTAACACCTCCACATAGGGGGCTATAATGTAAAGGAAACGTGACAGAACTGAAATTGTAACACTTCAAATTATAACCCCCACAAGTGTTTCTCATCAAAAGCAGAAATTTCTGAATAATTCTGAGAGTGAAACAGTGTTGAAACATTGATCAGTCCTTTCCTCCCCACCCCTTTCCTCTTTCTGCCTAATATATTAGGAGATTTTCATCATACCTTTCAGGTCAGGGTGCAGTGTTTTAATTAGAAATTAGGACTGAAATTGGAGATGTCTGGAGGCTGAAATGAAAGGACAAGCGTGGTTTGAGTGGCAGCGTGCATCGGTGGTTGTGGTGTGAGCTGAATGAGCTGAAGTAGGGGTGGCAGCTGCAGGCCTCTGGCAGGTCTGATGCTACACCGACTGAATTTGCCTTTCGCCCTTCATTCTCTATTCCCTTGAATACTGCTGTGAGATAAATATCAACTTACAGGAGATCATATTCACTGTGAATACATCGTGCTGGTGATTCTTGACTAGCCTGAGTCTTGGCTTAATATGACTTTTAAGGCATATATTTGCAAATATAATGAAAATAATAAGATAGTGTCAAGGTCCACTGCAAGACTTGCTTAGTATTGCTGACATACTTTTGCTCTGATTCCATTTTCTGAATAAGTGATTATGAATATGTATTCAGACTAAGCACTGTATTTTTAGGGAATAAGTTTTTGTAAGCCTTATTTAAAGGGAGGACATGGCAATGATGATTTTTTTTCCTCCATTCAGCAAAGAAAGACAGATTGGGAAGTCTTAACTACATCACCAAAAGGTCTTTCTGGTTTTGGCAAACCTGTAGAACTGAACAAAAAGTTCATATGTATTATCGAGTTACTATCTGTGCAAGATCATTCCTTTTAAATGAAAAAAAAAAAGTAGTCTAACAGTAATTCATGAAGAAAGGGTGAAGGTTACAGTAGGAAAAGATACAGTTTTGAGAAATAAAATGCCTTTTTTCTCCCCTCTTCTCTCAGGGGTACATTTGAATCACAAAATGAGATTATCAGGTAGTTGCATCAGATAATGCTTGTGATTGATCTCTGCCTGTTACTACTGCTGAAATACTGAGAATTGATCCTTAATCAGTTGTGATACAAAGAGTTCTAACTAAACTGCTGGTGTCTTTTGTAGACAAATAACTTTGTTTTAAATGAGGATGCTTTTTGAGGGAATGCTTTCAAGATTAGTGGATGTCTACATGGAGATCTCTGATGATTGCATTATCCTTGTTCAATGAGTAGCAAACGCTTTTACAGAAAGTATTTTGACCTGCTGTGACACATGCAATAAACTGGATAATGCACATCATGGAACACTTTAATCTCCATGAATGGGAGATTACCTGCACTGGTGTGTTGATATGTGTCCTCCATTTCTCAGTTAAATGAATTGCATGACCTAATGTCCAGACAGCAGAGAAGTCACGATGGTTGTCCTAGATATTGAGCTCAATGACAGAGACCATATTTGTCACTGATAGAAAAGCCTGAAAGTTACACATCCAATATCCAAGGAAAATTAGATTGCATGTTGTCGTGTTTTGTTAAATACGAGATATCTTGTAGGATTGCATTATATAAAATCTAACTATTAAGGTGATGATTTTGAACCTAACTTTTTTTTTTTAATGTGTTTTCAGGAGATACAGTTAGAACATGCAAAACAAGCTTTTGTGCAGAGAGACAATGCTCAGGCCGGAAGAGTCACAGCTATGGACTTCAGGGACATTATGGTCACTATCCGGCCACACATGCTGACACCATTTGTAGAAGAATGTCTAGTAGCTGTGAGTAGTTCTGGTATCCCGACTGGCAAAGACCTGGGATACAGATGTGGGATTCCTTTTTTATGTACCTCAACCACTATATGTGGCACGTAGTCCAGCTTATGGATGCATGTTTTTAAGTCTAGCAGTTATTATCTACACATATGAAAGTTAACCCTCATTGCAGAATATGTATCCTCAATGTTCCTGGTCTCCTGAGACAAAAGGCAAAGCAGGTATATGGACCTTAGTAATGGCCTACAAATGTAGAGTTTGCCTGACTATTTCCAGTCATTCCATCACAGTAGACTGTGTCAAATATGTTAAATACCATTGCATCCCACTTAGGAAGTCATCCTCAAAGGACTTGTTTTGTAATGTCAGGTCTAAGCTCCTGAGTGTAATTTCCAAGTACCTGGGACAGTGAATGAACTGGAATCACCCAAGGATGTTCAATATATATTAACTGATAGTTATTACACTAGAGTATACACTTTTTTCAGCGTGAAGTGCATAAACCAAATTAAATATTACAATTCTGCAATTTCACTGAAGAAAAAAAAAATTACATTTGGTTTTGACCACAGTTTCTAATCTTGGGAACTTGTAACAGCACCTTCCAAGTAATCCAAAGTCTGGCCATATCCATGTTTAAAGAAATCTGTTCTGCTTTGACTTGCAAGGGAGAATTCCAGGGGGTTTGTGAAGTGATGAGAACTGCAAACTCTGGACAGAATATTGGAAGAAGCATATAGCAAAAAGCATAGCCAGAAGACTTAGGGACTGACAATGAGATCTGATACTTTCTCCCTTGATTCTCTCCCCAGTCTTGTTACCAGCTTTCTTGGGTCATATACTCTTTCATAAAACATAAGATTTTTGATTCTTCCTCAAGATCAATTAAATTTTGGCAAGCATATGCATTGTTTTCAGAAATTTCCTTGATCACCAATCTTATACTTTAAATAGGGAATTGATTCAATAATTTTTCTGTGTGCAGACCCAACACCACTTTAAAATAAAGTTTTAGGCTCAGTTCTCATTTGAGAATGAATAACTGTTTGAACCTTATTGTTCCCATTTTGTTTGACTGCCTGATACAAGCCTGAGAGCTTACTGCTGGTTTTCCATGACTTGAAATGCCTGTGAATTTAAATGTTTCAGTTGACCTTTTTCAGAATATGTTTTGATTTTGTTGAAATTTTCTGTATAGTAATATACTTTACATGTAGAAGTAGATTTCCTCATTACTAGAAATAAGCCAACTTATGAAACATTTCCAAGTGAAGCAGTACTGAAACTTGAACTTTGTAAATTACTACTGGTTATGTTGCTATAATCCTGCATATGTATTTGTTTAGGTTTGTAGGGTGGGGAGAGTTTTACATTCTGGTCATGATTAGTTTCAGTAACATAAGAATCTTTCATAGTTTTCTTTATTTTGCAGGTTTTTTTAAAAAGCAAGCCTGTGCTACTGTCGCTCTTGTAAAATAACATTGTTTGAAAACCTTCATTTCAAGATTTTTCTTAGTCTTGTAACAGTGTCCTTACTCTTTTCTTCTTTTACTGTCTCTACTCTAGGCTGCTGGAGGTACCACTTCCCATCAGGTCAGCTTTTCCTATTTTAATGGATTTAATTCTCTCCTTAACAACATGGAGCTCATTAGAAAGATCTACAGTACTCTGGCTGGAAATAGAAAAGATGTGGAAGTCACTAAGGGTTGGTAGAAATGTTTGCAGTCTGGAAGTTTCCTTGGGTGTTTGGTTGGGGCGGGTGGAGGGAAAGACCTCATCTGTATGCTTTTAAATCAATGGGAGGGGGAGAAAGCCTGCCTCGTTAGGATTCCTTGGTACGCCACTCAGTTTTGTACACTCCTGTTGGAGTCCACCCTCCAGGTTTTTCATTTTGTTTCAATCAGAAAAAGGTCCTAGTAAACTGGTGGTGGGGGCAGGGTGAGGAAAGTATGTAAAGATATTTAAAAGTTTAAAAAACTTCCTAGGACTCCTGCCAAATTGGCAGCCTATTAAAGTGACCTTCAAGGGTAGTTGAAGAATTCCATAAACTTGTATTGGCGACACAGTAAGCTGATCTACAAGCTTGGAACAAGATGTTATCTGCTATATCTAACCACTTTTATAGAGAATTCCCTGTGCAATGCCAAAGTTTCATTAATGTGGCCTACTGGGACTATGCATGAAAAGTTCCACATCTCTTGACTCCTGAGGTTTTTTTCTGTTTGCTTTTTATTTTATTTTTTTCCCTCTGACTGGCAACTGATTGATACCGTATGTCAGATATCCTAAATCCTGCTGATAGTGCTAAGCTTTAAGACCAGAGAGTTGTACTTACTTGCATGAAGGATAGACTATTTAAAACATACATTTACATAGTGGCAGAAACACTTTTGTGGTGGGTCACTTTTGTTCCCCTTCTCCCTCCCCCACCAGCATCTTCTACTTAATGCTAAAATGTAAAGCAGCTCTGGGGTGCTCTGGATTATTTGTTCTAGTTTGATTAGTTTTTCTTTTCTATATTTTTATTCTGCTGCAGAGGAGTTTGTTCTGGCAGCTCAGAAATTTGGTCAGGTTACACCCATGGAAGTTGACATCTTGTTTCAGTTAGCAGATCTATATGAGCCACGGGGGTAAGTGGAGAATTATCTGTCCTCCTCTCTTTCCTTTCCTCCTCTCTCCTTGGAAGGAGTGGGAGGTGGTGTTGGGGAACAGGATTGTGTAGTAGTGGCCACATGCAAGTAACTTCTTGTGATTTGAAAACCCATCTCTAAGCAAATGCTAAGCTGAATTAATTTCCTCAGGCGCATGACGTTAGCTGATATTGAAAGAATTGCTCCTCTGGAGGAAGGGACGTTGCCTTACAACCTGGCTGAGGCTCAGAGGCAGGTAAGAACAGAAGCCAGTATGATGCTATTATCTGTTTCCAGTGCCAAGTAAATAGATAGCCAACCTCCTTCTGTGTTGTTGGCTACATTGCTTTTCTCTTGTGTTCTGTAATATCTGTGAGGAATACCTTCTTGTTAGAATTTATTTTTAACCTGTGTCACGTACTCTCCATCTCTTCTCTGTGCCCCTTTCTCTTGGGCTGCATTTGGACAGGTTAAATGCAATTTACTTTGGAAAGATAAAATGTATATGAGTGTCACCCAGCCATTCAGTAAATATTAGGTGTATACCTAATTAAGGTGTTTATGTTTTGTGATTCTGTTGCTCTCTGCTCTTTTTAATGAGGAAAGAAGACTTCCTGCTTCGAATATGGATAGCAAATTCAGCATCTAGCCTATTAAATAGCAGCCCTTGTTCTGAACACACACGCAAGTTCCTGGCTTCAGAGTGTTCTCTACTTTGCCTTGAGCTCTGCTGAATATCAAAATAGGAGAGATTGTTTAGTCTACCATTACAGTTTCAGTAAAAGCATTAATATTCTCTGCATTTCCAAAAACTAAAGGCTTTCGATGGTATAACAGCAAATGAACTTCTGTTGTCTTTGAGGCAAAAAAAAAAAAAAAAGAATGTTGTTCAAATGTCAAACCTGTTGACCTTTTAGTTTTCATATTATTTTAGCATATCTTATATTTTCATTGACACGAGTTTCTGTACAAATAGATTTAAAACTAACCCTCTGTTTCTGTTTCTCTCTGTCTCTATTTTGAGGCAGTCTTAACTTTGTGTCTTGTGAGACTAAGGGGTTTTTTGCTGGTTTTTTTTTTCCTGCTCTGGGTCTGTGCGGAGACGCCAGTTTGACCACAATGAGTTGATGCAGGCTACATTTTTAGGACTACCAGGCCATAAGCCAGGCCTCTGTGTGTGTACACATGCATCTCTTGCTTCTCTTTCTTCTTCTCCTCCCTCCCCTACATGTGAACACCCCCACCACCACTCCAAGACAGTATCTAGGGTGGCGGTTTTATGTTTGTTTGAGCAGTGACTAAATGTTGACTATGCTGGGATGAATTCAAATGAGTTGGCTCCCAAAAGCTCACCATCTATTCCTAGAAGACTTCTAAAGGAGTTAAAAGCATTTGCATTGGACTGAATATCAAGTAACGTAAGTTACAATAGGTGGCAGTAAAATGTAGCCAAAAATGAGGTGCTGAAAGTAGCAGCTTCTTCAATTTTTGCTTTGGGGCCACTGTCTTTGCTAGTATGATTTATGCTGTTTTAAGAGGCTAGGATATATGAACCTGCTTAAATCTTACAATTTCTTCTGCATATGTGTCCTACCTTTTCATTTTTCCATTCAATTCCTCTTTAATGTCAGCTGCTTGATGCTAAGACTGAAAATATTTTCAGCTATATTGATACCTTCAATTTATTTTCTGGCCAGCTCCACGCACACTGGAACATTAGCTAGAACTTGAACACGTTTTCAGGAAAAAATATATCCATATTTTTATTTTGTCCTTTTACTTGTAGTATCCTAAAAAAAAAGTATTACAAAAAGTGATAGTAAGTATGGAAGGCTTAATGCCCCTGCAGAACTTCTGTTTTCCTAATTCTTTTCTTTCATTAGATAGAAATGTTAAATCTGGAGCACTTCTGCAATTTATTTTTCATGGGGTTGAATCTAGCACTCATAGACTGTGAGCAAAATTAAGTTTTGCTTTATGAAACCTTATTTTCCTTTGGCTAATATGTATGAACAATGCTTGCATAGTTGATGGCCTGAGAAGTAACAGGTATACCTGGTTTTGGCAACAGTAGAATGAAATTCCAAACTGGAGTTGCTTTTAGCTGTAGAAAATTAATGACTTGCGATGCAATATGTGTGCCCTCATATGCACATTTAGACCATTGATTTTGGAGTTGTATAATTTTGTTGTAGTATCAGTCTTTCTTTGCTATTCCAATCTGAAGAGGCTACATTATACGGCACTTAGAAATCAGTGGAAAAGAAATAATAATTGAAAACAAAATCTCCAGTTTATTGTGGGATTTTTTCCAGGTATCTGTATATTTATCTCTGTGTGATCATGAGATGTTCTCTCATGAAATACGATGTTCTGATTATTTTTCTTGTCTTTCCTTTTAAATCCTGTCTCGACAGAAAGCTTCAGGTGATGTGTCTCGACCTATTCTCATCCAGATTGCAGAATCGGCATACAGATTTGCCCTTGGTTCGGTTGCTGGAGGTTAGTCATGGCTGAGCAAAAGAATATTCATCTTCACTGTTTGGGTTTTTTCTTCTCCTGCCCTTCTTCCCTTTCTGCCTTTCATTTAAGTGTGGAAGGCTTCTGAGTCTTTCCCTTGGAGCCATGTCTAAGGGATGGGATGTCTATAAGTTTGAAGGGGAAGGGGTCATCTGGTCTACAAGAGTTTTGGAATTTACGAGCCCTTGGAGTTTGCAGATGGTGTTGCTATTTCATTTGTGACCAAACCAGTTTCAGAAGAATCAGATTAATAGTGACGTAGGGCCAGGAAGTGCTTTTGGTTAAAACAAGGAGGTAGTTTAATGTATCCAGAATATATAGTGGAGGAAAAAAGATACAAGTGATACTTGAGATGTAAATGTGGAAGATGACCGTGGCAGTCAAACACGGCAAATGCAAAATCATGTTTTCTTATAGTTTGATTTTTATTTGCAGCTGTTGGAGCCACTGCAGTCTACCCAATTGATTTGGTAAAAACTCGAATGCAAAACCAGCGCTCTACAGGCTCTTTTGTGGGAGAACTTATGTATAAAAACAGCTTTGATTGCTTCAAGAAAGTGCTACGTTATGAAGGTTTCTTTGGGCTTTATAGAGGTAAGTTTAAAAGGTGGTATATACTAATGATAAGATACTAATAAAAGTTCAGTGGGCCTCTGGATTTTTAAGCCTTTTTTGTTGAGACTTCAATTTTTGCCTGGTTTGTGCTTTTGCTTCTACTCTGTTATAGATGAAGTGTTTGCAAACTTCTTGATAATTAAAACCTCACTGTAATGAGAACATTCTAGGAACTCTCTGTCCCTTCCTTCCTCACCTGCAATAGGGCAACAATAGCAATTTCCTACAGCAAAAGTATACTGTTAGTCAAGTTTTTATTTCCTTAGCAGTCCTTAATACCAAGAATGTTTTGTCCTGTTTGATAAGAAATTAGATCATCTGGTTTTGTTTTTTTGTTTGTGTTCTTTCTTATCTGTTTTCTTTCTGTTTAAAAACATAGAGAAAATGTGGTACCTTGTTATTAACCAGATCTCTTTTTGTGATATCTTTTGTGACAAAAAGGTCTCTCTGAACCAGTTGCATGTGCTTCACTAATCATTGGGAATAGTCATCTTTATCAGGTTTTATGTATGCCTCTCCTTAGTTTGTGATTGTTGAGTCAGCCAGAGAGGTTAGCTGGGTTTCAAGCCACTTAGCTTTATATATGTAATCAACACACGCAAGTTATGAAGTTAGCTGTTCCAAGCTCCCTTTGTAGTCAATGGAGAAAGCTCCAAAAGCTCATTTGCTCTGTTCAGGATGTAAATCATCCTCACTTTGGGTATTTTAGGTAAGTGCCTGCAGTTAGATGGTGGCGCTTTTTTATTTTGTCCTTGTCCCAGTTCTGGCGTCAATGGTGTAAGTTCAGGTAACGCAGAAGTAGTCAAAGAATCATAAACTATTGCATGAGACTGCAGTTCTTCTCTGTCATAGAGATAAAGCAAATTATACTTCTGGTATCCCAGTTATTGAGATCTGTTATCCCCCTCTGCCGTAGTCATTGGGGAGGATTTGAAACTTGCATTACTTATTTCATCTTTAGCTGACTTGCTTAGAAACTTTTTTTAACTTTTGAAAATAAGAATATTGTAATGACAGAAACTAATTGCTAAAAGCAGTTGAGTCAGGAATGAAGACTGGAGGATTTCAGTAAATTACTGTTATGATCTGGGAAAGCTATATGCACCTGAAAAAAAAGTAACAGTTTATAAGACGATGTGTGAAACCACATTAAAACTAAGTGGTGTGATAATGTGCACTCTTTAACATACGACCTGAGTTACTGGATGTTGGCTAAGTAGCTCCTCTGCAATATACAGACTTTGTAATTATTTCAGCACAATTGGAGATGGGAAGAGACTGTTATTATTGACTGTTTGAGGCAATTTTTTGAGTAGGCCTAATAATTTAATAAAGAGTATTGACATGGTTTCTATTTCGTAAGTATTTATAGTAATCAGAATTGTAAGAAGTCCCAGTTATTGGCTAAAGAACAAAATGTATTCCCTGCAACTGTATGTCTCTTCCTTCCAGGATCCTGAAAGAATAAATATGCAGAATTCCAGTATTATCTGCTTCTGTCTTAATGAAACTCTGAAGCACAGTGATTTTTTCATCTGGGGAAAAAAAAACCCTCAGTAATGTCATAAATGCATATTAACTCTATTTGCTTGTCGTGGTTTTGGAGTGATTTTTTCATTGCCAAATTGGGGAACTTCAGGAACCTTCATCAGTATAGCTTGTCCTTCTGTTCTCCATCCCCTTCACTACTTTTCAGTCTTCCAAGGAGTACTGAATAGTGAAATCTCAGACAGTTTGGTGGAGCTGAACTTCTAAACCCAGGGCAATAATCTTGATTCTGGATTATATAGTAGAAATCATGTGATGGCAAAGAACACCATCATTTCAGAGGCAAATTGAGACCTGCATTTCTACAGATCCTCTACTTAAAGGGCACCCTGATTTAACTTCTTTTTTTAAAGAGTCAAATAGAGAAAACTCCTTGAAAATGTGGAGCTTCCTCTCTGCAGTTCTGTAAATTTGGACTGTTGCTTGCTGTCTAAGGAGATGATGATGGAGAAAGTTGAGCAACTGAGTGCAGAATGAAGGTTTCCGGGTAAGCTTGAGAGGACAAGAAAATTTGAAATTAACATTTTATAGTTTAGTATATTGACCCAATTTAATGCAGTAAACTTATAACAAGAATCATCTTGTTCTGGTCTTAAATACTACACTGGGTAAGACAAACTAGAGTACATTACTTTTTGCTGTTCATCAGTAAGTGGAATTCTTTCTTACACTGTGGTGCATTCGGAGTTCAGTAAATGCGGGGGGTTTTCCCCAGAGGAGGAGGGAGTAGTCATTGGTAGACTTCTCCTGCTTAGCTGAATAGTGATGCAAAACCTTTTAAAAAAATTATAATAGAAGCATTTGGAGCAGTGGTCTCTTTGTCATGACGCACTGCAAGAAAGCAAACAGGAATTATAAACCTTACTCTGAACTCAGCCATTTCAGATGGTATTTTTAATACAAGGCACATATTTCCATCCAATAAAGTGAACTGATTTTTCTTTTTTGTATCATTATTTTATTCCAAACTTGAAAAGGGCAAAACCACCATATTCTAAACCACCATCTCAGATAAGGATAAATTACACCATCTTGTGGATATAAAGAGAGCACTAAATTTTGTTTAATGTCAATTTGATTCTAAGGATAATCAGTATTTTCACTGAGAAGATACTTTGATTCATAAAAACCCTCCAAACATGATACAAACCTCTGTAGAATCTTAATAATATGCATTATTTGAATGCTGTGTTGTTAGATTTGGGCTTTTTAAGACTGTACATCTGAGATACGTTTTTCATCTGTCGCTTTCTCAGTGTGGCTGAAAAGAATACTCATCTCATGTACCTATAATTTACTGTTGTGACTACATTTATCCCTGAAATACATATTTAGAAACTCACAGGTATTTATGTACTTACAAATATAAGAAAATTTTGGAAGCTGCAATTTGTCAACATCTCTTCCAACAGATAAGGTCACCTATATTTCTTAATATTATTTTAATCAGAAGTCCACCTGATGAGTCACAGAATGTTTCACAGTCTTAAGCAGTGCGTTTAGTAGAGGTTATTTCACCTATACTTGATAGAAATTTTATGGGAAATTTAAGTACCAGAGATAATATGTAGCTCATGAAAATGTTCAGTAGCCATGCTGTTAATGCTACTTCTCCTAGAGGATGAAAAAGACAGGAAATGCTGCAGAAGACTCTGTCATCAGTGATCATTAACTGCTAAGGAACTTGTTAGTTTTATTTCTTCTGATGGTGCTTCTAGCACTGCAGTGACTCCAGATGCCCTCTAATCTTAGATTTTAATCATTCATTCATCATCCAGCTTCATTATTACTGTTGGACTCCCATGCTAATGATACAAGACCATGGCAGAAGCTTTCCTCCAGAAGTATGCATTGAAGTACAATTTTTTTAGAATGGAAGTACAAGCCTACTCCTACCCAAAGTTCAGTTGAAGCACAAAATCTTCAAGAAACGCCCCATTTCTAGTCTGAGGGAGCTCTGCTTGAATGGCAACTGGTGATTAATTGTCCGATTTCTTGTGTGAATCCTGTAATAGAAAAAATTGGCAGTATTCTGTACTGCCTTTCTGTCAGATGTCCAAATGGTTTCAAATATTTTACCTAGACCGAGCAACAACTCCTTCAGCCAGTGTTTTTTTCTACTATGAAGGGAAAGTCACATCCATTACACAGTGGGAAACTGAAGTTTCACTTTTAGATGTCTGAAAAAATACTTTGGCCAAGTAAGATTTTTTTTTTCTTTTACTGGATGCCGTCACTACAGCTGGGCTGGACGAGCTATTGCATGTATATTCACAATGTATTTAGACAGCTTTCAGAAAGTAACTTGTATGATGTTGCAAACTGACTGTAGCTCTTGGTGCTTTCTCTTGCATATACCTTCACCTGCCCATAGAGTCGTACTACGACAGTGTGTCAGATATGAAGTGGTACATGGTAATTGCTACTAAAAAGCCTTGGATATATAAAAATGTGTTGAGTAATGTTTGCTACATACTATACTAGTAGGCTACCTATGTGCAAAAAGTTATTCTCTGGTGTTATAAGAGGCATACATTTTTAAGACGCTGTCAGACATTTCTAAGACTGTCCTACATCTGTGTATGTGTCATGTTGCTGATCTGCTAATGCATAGTAACACTGAAAAATTCCCAGCGTGTCAGGATAACCCCAACAGAAAAATGACATCTTCATATGCGTCCCTTGATGTGCTTGCTTTCTTCCAAAACTTAGTTCAGAAATCTTTCAACAGTGTTTCAGGGCTCTCATCAAAACAGTAAAGAAAAGAGAATTTAGTTTTGATGGTCATAACATATAGAATGCATAGGTACTACTTACAGATAGCTTTATTACATAGGTATGAGAGCAAACGAAGAGTCCTTCTACCTTCCTAAGGCCGAGGTGGTATCTGGCAAGGCTATAAAATATAGTATTAAAATTAATGCTGCCTTTTTTAGAATACTGTATGCTATCTTGCAGTAAACAAGCATGGCATTATCTGTAATTAAACTTAAAAAGCACTTTTATACTCTAAAATTGTGTGTGAAGTAGAGAGACAAAAAGAAAATAATGCCCTGGGTTTTTGGCTGTTCAGTTAGGTTTTGGGGGTTTTTTTGTTGATGGGATTTTTTTTTTTTGTAACTTCTACCTGTTCTTTTTAATCTTTCTCTTTTATATTGAAGTTTTATGTAACAGTCCCATTCAGATTTGAGTGCAAAAGGAATGGACCAGATGGGGAAAAAAAACACTTGTGCCAAGATAAACACGTTTTTCTCCATTTTTACAAGTGCCTTTACAAATGCAAAGTCTTAGGAGCTGAAAAATGGTGAAAAGGCCATCTTCAGATCAGTCTAGTGAAAATCAATTTGATTTGTCCTGCTCATGTTGCTTCTAAAACTGGAGGTTCATACACATCTCCCAACTGGACTATTTTTATAATTTTATACCTTGATATTTTAGAATGTCTTTTTCTGTAGTTCATTTGATACAATATAACTTCAAAGTCATGTTATATTTAGCTTAGGTGTAGTAATATATTTATATGTGATTTTAAAATTAATGATCTCCAGGTTCTTTTGGAATTACATATCTGCTTACAGACCTGCTCTAATTCTACTGGATTAGATTTAGGATCAGGTACTGTGTTTGTAAAGTAAATGGAATGTTTTTTAATCTCCAAAGATAGAAAGTTCATTAGCCATAATGTCTATACAAAGCCACACACGTCCTATAGCAAGATGTGAATATCATAGCAGTTATAAAGATAATTTTGTCTGTATAAGGCTACTGAAAAAAATCCTATTCATTGTATATCCTTGTGTTTTCTTCATAGTGCTGTAGAAAATGTAGTATTTAATTACACAATTCTGACTGTCTTAATGGTTTTTCATTGAAGTCTGGATTCGAGTCACCTGTGCAACTAAAACTGTTTAAGAAATTCAAATTTTGAAATTTATCTTACTCTGCAGAATCTCTTCTTTTGAGCAACTGCATATGAACTTAGCGTTATCGTATTCTTTGTTTGAATATTCAGCCATATGATCATAATTCAACATAATTGTTTTGGGTAAATATTATGTATGTATGTACGTCAACTATATATGCAATTAGTTTTTTTGACACTTGAAAAACAAAAATGCTAATACAGGTGCAAAATTTTAAAGGCATTAGTATATAAATATGGCTGGCCCTCCTGCTACCACAACCCAAATGGTGCTATTCTCCAATGTCATTTCCTTATTAAGAGCATCAGTAGTAACCAGTAAAGCTGATGGATGGTAGCAGGATGGAAAAATACACTAATCCAGTGCACATACATCTTTCTCTCTGTTATTCTGATGTTTAGCTCTTTGGGAAATGCTTTTTGGCAAGTTTGCTCTTAGATGTGGAACCTTAATTGTTGTCTTTTTCCCCAGAAAATAAAACCATGGAGAGGTGAAAATGTCAGGCTTTGTAGAAAGTATCCAAAGTTGCTGCCTGAGCTACTGAAACAAAGGGGGTCTGCACCAGAAACTGTAGCCAGGGTGATTTTTCTCACATTTCTGAATGGTGTCCTAATTTTGTTATGCTGACGAATACTGGCAACACCATTTTAGCCCCAGGCTTAGTTGGTAAGCTTGGCGTATTTTTAGGTTGTGTCATCCAAAAGTTTACAAAATATCGACCGTTCACTTCAGGCAAGTGAAGCCAGCAGTCAGAGATTCCCACTTCCAGTTCTCTAGTGTATCACATCTAGCAAAATAAATTAGGAAATTCCATACCTGGGAAGAAAGCAGCATAACTTCCTTTGTTCTAAGAACTGGTGAGTTGGCTGTGCAAAGAGCTCAAGAATGTAATCATGCATGTTTGAATATTTTGCATTATTTTGATTCCTATCCTCTTGGGTCCTGCTATCTAATGCCATTGGTTTTGCCAGAAAAAGATACTGCTCTCATGATTTTTTAAGTGGATGCGTCGTGTATCTCACAAAATTAATTAGATAGTCTTAATTTTTGTGTGAAGATGCAGAAAATGTTAGTTTAGGACAGAGTACTGAAATGTAGTTGGCAAATCTGGGTTAGTGTTAAAGTGAGCTAATATCACATTTAAAAAAGCTAAAGAAACAAACAGGTATAGACAGTCATAGCACTTGAAGTGGTAGCACAAAGTTTGTCCTCAAAATGAAATGTTTAAGTATTCTCATTAAATATAAGAACACAGAATTGCTGTAAAAATTGCCCATTTCTAGATGGTGATCTCTATATATATTGGTTGATTTGTTTAGTTAATACCAAGTTACTTGATGCAATGAATTCTCTATTTCCATGTTACAGGTCTGTTACCACAGCTATTAGGAGTAGCACCAGAGAAGGCCATAAAACTTACTGTAAGTTTGCAAATGGATTGTTTTCACACTTCTCCACATTGTAAAGTCTATCTAATTACAATTAGCGCATTAAGGATTTTTATCCTTAATGTGTCAGCAGCAATGCAGAGTGTTCCCCAGGGCTCAGTATTGGGGTCAGTTCTGTTTAGTATCTTTATCAACGATCTGGACGAGGGAATCAAGTGCACCCTCAGTAAGTTTGCGGATGACACCAAGTTGGGTGGGAGTGTTGATCTGCTTGAGGGTAGGAAGTCTCTACAGAGAGATCTGGACAGGCTGGATCGATGGCCTGAGGCCAATTGTATAAAGTTCAACAAGGCCAAGTGCTGGGTCCTGCACTTTGGTCACGGCAACCCCATGCAGCGCTACAGGCTTGGGGAAGAGTGGCTGGAAAGCTGCCCGGCAGAGAAAGACCTGGGGGTGCTGGTCGACAGCCGGCTGAATATGAGCCAGCAGGGTGCCCAGGTGGCCAAGGAGGCCAATCGCATCCTGGCCTGTATCAGAAATAGCGTGGCCAGCAGGAGCAGGGAGGCGAGTGTTCCCCTGTACTGGGCACTGGTGAGGCCGCACCTCGAGTGCTGTGTTCAGTTTTGGGCCCCTCACTACAGGAAAGACATTGAGGTGCTGGAGCGTGTCCAGAGAAGGGCAACCAAGTTGGTGAGGGGCCTGGAGCACAAGTCCTGTGAGGAGCAGCTGAGGGAACTCGGGTGGTTTAGTCTGGAGAAAAGGAGGCTGAGGGGAGACTTTGTCACTCTCTACAACTACCTGAAAGGAGGTTGTAGCAAGGTGGGCGTCAGTCTCTTCTCCCAAGTAACAAGTGATAGGACAAGAGGAAATGGCCTCAAGTTGAAGCAGGGGAGGTTTAGGTTGGATATTAGGAAAAATTTCTTCACCGAAAGGGTTGTCAAGCATTGGAACAGGCTGCCCAGGGAAGTGGTTGAGCCACCATCCTTGGAGGTATTTAAAAGTCTTGTAGATGTGATGCTTGGGGACATGGTTTAGTGGTGGGCTTGGCAGTGCTAGGTTAGTGGTTGGACTGGATGATCTTAAAGGTCTTTTCCAACCTAAACAATTCTATCATTCTCTGATTTTTGCTTGATACAAACTTAATTACAAAAAGCACAAAGCAACTGTTTATATCTGACTTGTATGCCATTTGTAATGTTCACAAGTCACTTGCAGATATATATATATGTACATTTTAAGAATCTTACTGAAAACTTGTTTTTGGACTCACTCCAAAATGTAACAAGCTTATTCAACTTGTTCAGCTCATCTGCTTGTTTGTAAGTAGCACAGGCCTTTGGTTTCACTTCTTAGCAAAAATGGGTAATTATTTATTGGATTTGGAGGGCTTTTGTGGTTCCTATATGTTTAATTCCAGTGCAAGAGGAGATAATATGAGCATGCAGTGTAGTGTTGGTAAGAAAGGAACTTGTTTGCATGAATTTTTTTTCTTAAATGTTTTGCTTCTGTAATTTTGTTATTTCTTGAATGATTTTAAGGCACTGAAGAATTTCTTCTTATAACCCATTCGTAATGTATTGGTTATTCAATGGTAAGCTAGTATTCACCAAAGCTTGTAGTATGCATTTTTTAAAAAGGAAGTACTTAATGCTATTAATTGCGTTACTATTGTGTTAAAACTTATTATTGAACATTCTGATATTAATTTGAAATTATATTTAAATTTTTAAATGTAGTGAGCATTTCTAAAATCTTAAGTGATTTTATCATTAATTTTCAGAGAATGACTTTATTATTTAGTTAGTGATTGTTATCTTTTTTTCAGTAATAAATATTTGAATTGTGCTGCAAATCTTTGTTAGAAAGAAGAACATAGCTTTACAATATTTCATACAAAATCTAAGATTTGTTTGATATCTGTTAGTTGGTAGCTTCATGGATATATTTGCATTTTCAGTTGCACAGAATTTGCAGCTGATGTTTTCTCCAACCTTTTTTAATTTATCAGCTTTCCTAAATGTTTGTTTTTTAAGGTTAATGATTTTGTGAGAGATAAGTTTATGACTAAAGATGGCTCTGTCCCACTGGCTGCAGAAATTCTTGCTGGTGGCTGTGTAAGTATCTTTAATTTCTTTCATATGAGATTCATGAAAGTGCGGTGTGTAATATTAACTATGTGGACTAAGACTTCTGTTTAACCACAGATCCAGTTCAAGAGCAGACTCTACTAGAGCATCTCAATTCTTTCCTAGATAGGCCAGCCGTTCTTGATGAAAGGGTAAATGTTTCTGTGCATCGTGTCTTTTAACTGCGCTGTATAATTCTCACAGCTTAGAGTTTGTTTCCTTAATAAAGGATCTGTCTTTATTCATGTTGGCTGTAGCTTATAGCCTAAAGAGGATTCATGCTAACCTTTCCAGAACTTAATAATGAGTTACTACTTTGTGGCACCCACTCTGCCACGTCACTTCTTTCCGATGTGTTATTGCACCCACTAATTTTCACTTTTTACAGTGATACTGGCTTTTTGAAATGGCAAAAACTACTCATGCTTCTTTGAGTTCATAGCAGACGTAGGCTGTGTAATGTTAACTCAGTACATAATGCATTCCTGAATGTAGGCTGTATTTAAAACCCACTAAGTTTTTAAGAGTGTTTTGCTTGCACAAAGTAGTATCTTAATGAACAACTGGCATATTACTGGGTAAATGATAATACTTCACGGTTTGATCTAGTTCTGTCTGTTCATATCACGGCTTACTTTAGCTGGTGTATTGATTTTGTTCAAGCAAATGTAAATACTTTAGGTAAAATGAATAGTTGTTCAAAGACCAGCGCACTTTACAGATAAAGAACACTGTTTATTTAAACGGGCTTTGATCACTGGGGCAGAGCAATGTTGGTATATTTTCAATCTATCTTTGTTTCAGCTGTCATAAGACAGATGAGGTCACATTTTCAAGCAGCTTCTACCTGTGTCAAAAACTACAGTGAGCAGCAACTTAAAAACAAATGCTTGTGTCTTAACCTCAGTAGGTGCAGAGATTTGTGCTGTATGTGCTTGCAGAGAGCGTACTATGATTATCTGAGCCTCAGGGTGCAATGGCTAGGTTGTATTGCAGACTGAGAAGCTCTGGCTTTCTATAATTCTCAGGAGATGGGGCAGGATTTGGCTGGTGTCTGACTGCTCCTTCTGTTTGATCACTGACCTGTTGTAGACTGCCAGGTAGGATCCCCTTGTTCTGTAACTTTAGGAGCATTCGGGGGAGAAAAAAAGAAGGGGAGGGAGAGAAGAATGTGGGTCTCTAAAGCTCTAAATAAAAAGCATGCTGTAAATGAAGGAAAAATGCAATAAAGTGCTTGCAGAGTAAAAATTATTTGCCCCTTACACTAATAAAACGTCTTATGAACATAGCAGCCATAGAGAATTCAGCAAAATTTTCATTTAAAATGTCATTTGATCTAGGGTTTTTATTTTTACAGACTGCTGTGAATTTTTTAATGCAGTACAAAAAGCACTCTTTACAGAGAGCTGTCATTCATGAGAATGCTGCAGCAAGCTTTTTGCCAGTAGTTCGTTGTAAACTAAGGATCTGCTTTAAGAGATAGGTGGTTTGAGACGTATTTTAAACGTGCTGTAAATGTTGGCTTGTCCTATTTGGTATTTGAAATATATATTAACAATGAGATGCTGCATAAAGTTGTAGCAGTAGACATGTGGTGGCAGAATGCCTTGCATTTTCTTTTAACTGGAGTGCTCCACTTAAGGGCATAGTCTGGTGCCAGGTAGATGGGTTGCAACTTGTCTTTTCTGCAGGTGGTCTTTGGGGTTTTTTTTTTGTAATTTTAAACCCAATTCAGACTAGCAACAGAGACTATCGTTACAAGTGGTGCCTAGTTTTTTGGGGTGAATTTTTCTCTCATGGTATAAACACATGCATAAAATACGAGATGCCAAAGACAGGCTTTTTCCTATAGATTTCGGTGTTGTATTGGCCTAACTTTCTGTCCCTGTTTAAGCGAACGTGAAACCTGCGATTTCACTGTGGAAAGAGGAAGGACACTGTTGAATGCTTTTGAAAATTTTCAGTCTTGGATTTTTACCTCATTTCACAATGTAGTAATCGCTTATGTGGGAGGGAAGAAGACAGGAGCGCATGATGTGTTAAGAGTCTAAAAAGGGGCAGCCAACTAAGATGAATTTCATAAAAGACACCTGCCCTGTCACCTTTCTGCTCTGAGTATCTAATTCTCAGCTGTGATTGTGTTACAAACACAGATGTTAAATTTTCCTTCTTCAGTGGTTCTGTTTCCTTGGAGTGTATTCATTGCTTATGGAAGGGCTGTGTGCTGGGATGCATACTACATTTTAATGTTTTAAATACCGTCCCTGTGAGTACAGTATAGCATTAATACCTTAGAACTGGAGGACCGAGCAGATACTTGGATGGTTTGCGTTGTTCAGTAACACAAAGGGCTTTGAAGGGGTCAGTATCACCTGAGTAGCTCCACTCCACTGTTTGCCCAACCATTGCCAGGCGTTGACTTTTAAGTCCCCAAGGAGTTCACTTTGCATCATAATTACTGAGAATTAGTACACATGGCTGACTTTTGCACTTGTAACTAAAGCTGATTGTTTCATTGAACAAGTCTTTTTCTGTTTTGTAAACTGTTTTCTCTCCTGGAAAAAAAAAAAGAAAAGAAGAAAATAGAAAGATCTTTTACTTCATGACCTCGTGGCACTTAGTTCAGTTAACAGCCTGTTTCATAGCTTTTTATTATGTGAAGATGAAAGTGATAGGTTGGTTGAGATTTTTTTTTTGTTGTTGAGACCCCCAAGAACATAATTAAAAGTATAACCTTTATATTTTTATACAGAATCTTAAGGAAGGTTGTTATGTAAATTACTAACTCAAAATTTCCATCTCCTTTGTTTGTAAGAAATTTTCCTACTGACTATGGTGTTTGTTACCCATAAAAATTACATATATGTAACTTCCAGTTTTGCACAATGCCTGACACCCACCATGAACTCTGGTCTCTGCTGTTCATTTAGGACTCTCATTTCTCATATGAATCCTGTATAGCCTTTATCATTATTAGACTAGTAAAAAGCTTTGGTTCCAAGACATATTGTAATGATACCGTAGAGCTAGGATCTGCTGAGCATCTAAACCACAAATCTGACGTAACCTCCTTGAAGGAAAAAGTGTACAAATATACTAGGTTTGATTTCTGCTAATGCTGTAACTTACCTTCAGGGATTCTTTAATAAAGGGATGATCTTGGGTAAGCTGTAAGTACAACCTGAAATCTTTTTATTTTACAGTGGCAATAATCTTGAAGTTTCCGTAAGGTTTTTTTTCCATGGTCTTTCAATTTATTTTATATTTTAAATAAAAAATAATCACTAGTCATACCGAGTTTAGCTGCTTGCTTCTTTTAAACTTAATTCACTTAAAAGCTTCTGTTAAAAGTAACCTGATTTTTTTGATACAGCACTGTTGTTATTTTTTTTAGTTATATTAACCAATTGAAAATTTTGTTTGTAAAAGTGGCATAAATATTATTTTGGTGGTTTTGAGGTGTTTCTTTAACACTAAGCTTTTAGGTGAGACAGTTATTTCGTTTAGTTCCTTAAATAAAGCAGTTCCACGTTTAATTGAAAAAATACACGTTGTGTGTCTGGAAGTAACCAGGAAGGAGATGCAAAGATGCAAAATAAAGAGTAATCATAAAACACACACAAAAATATTAAGAAAAACAGAAGTATAGCATGACTAAAAAGAAATAGTTGTATAATATATGTTGCCTTGTCTGCATATAGTAATACAATTATATAGGTAAATCGGAGGCTTAATTTTCAGCAAGAAAAAAGCATTTTGCTTTATTAACCTTTGCTTCTGCTCTCCCTCCTCTTTCCTTTTCCACACACAGTCTTTTCCTTCACAGCTGCTCAGTGTGTGCTCACTATTAGCCAGTTTAAATCATGTAGCACAGTACAATTACAGACCCCGTACAGATCTGCTTTTATTTAAGTTGTCAGTACAATTTTAGGCATATTTCTGGAGACTTTATAGTAATAGTAATAAAGTTAAAACATATTGGACCTGCTTGGACAACCTCAACTCTGCTATGGAACATAAAAATTAGATACGGTTAAGATGGAGTTCATCTAGAAAGTGCAAAATCCTGTCCAGAATTAATTCTTATAAAGGAATATGATGTGAAATTCCAATTGAGTTGTGCTGAATAAGTGATCCAGTACAAATAGTTTTATAAAGCTACTTACAACATGTATTTTATGTTTCAGAGAGTAATAAAGATAAGTCCACATCTGAGCTGCATTTTCTCTGTGGCAATGCAGTGGAGGTAGAGGGTGTACGGACTGCAATTCCCACACTTCTTAGATCTCTTACTTGCAGAAATTTAGACATTTCTAAGTTGTAGGCTAAAGGAGACTGAAGGTGTCATTATTGCTTTCATTATTCAGAAATCTAAATCTCATAAAATTCTATTCTGTTTGACAAAGAAGGCTGAGCTATGGGTAGAATGAAACTGAGCATTATGTATTCCAGGGGGGGAAAAAAAATCTCTGCATGTATATCTGAAAAAAGAACAACTGCTATCACATAGAAAAGTTTTGGTATAGTTTATTGAGATAGTTAAGCAATCATGGTCTTCTTGATGATTGCTCATATTAGCTTTGAAAGCAAATGGCATACATCTCTTGAACTCTTAATAGATTTGTTCTCGAAGGTCTGTTCTCCTTGTAGTCAGGCATTACTTTCAAGGGGAGTTCTACCTGCATGTGTAAAAGCCCAACATTCACATTTCTTGTTTAAGGAAAAGTTCAGAAGCTCCTGATAAATTTTTTTTTCCTTGATTAAATTAAAAGCTATTTTATTTTTACATAAAATTTATGTTGTTAAATAAATTAATTGGAGTTAAAGTCTATTTAATATAATTAATATAATGTAAAAGAATATACTATAATTAATTACGTGTTTTTAAAGTGTAGTTTTCTCCTCTGAACCACTGTAATTGGAGTTATTTTCAGCATACTGAAAATAATTTAAACTAATTGTAAACTTTGGTACAAAAAAGTGCAGCT